CGGGTACAAATCGAAGTCGCCCTTAGTTTCCGTTCATTTTCTTCCCAACCATTGCACATACTGAAATGAAATTTGGTATACAGATATATCACATAAATATCTAGGTCAAGTTCTGTTTTGGGTACAATCGCACCATTTTTGACAGAGTTATACCCCTTGGACTTAGAAAAATTTCAATTATTTGCAGTTTCCGCTCATTTTCTTTGTAACTGTTGCACATACTGAAATCAGATTTGGTATACAGATATATCACATTAATATCTAGGTCAAGTTCTGTTTTGGATACGATCGCACCATTTTTGACAGAGTTATGCCCCTTGGAGTTTGAAAAAATTCCAAATATTTGCAGTTTCCATTCATTTTCTTTGACCCTGTTGCACATACTGAGATGAAATTTAATATACAGATTTATCAGATGAATATCTAGGTCAAGTTCTGTTTTGGATACAATCGTGCCATTTTTGACAGAGTTATGCCCCTTGGACTTACAAAAATTCCAATTACATGTATTTGGGGGGAGGGGGGCATAAGTGTTTTACAAACATCTCTTGTTTATTTGTTTATTTCAGGCTGACACAGCGAAGCTTTCTCTGCGATCTCACAAGAGTACCTATTATTTATTTATTTGTTTACTTGCTTATATGTTTGTTTATTTATTTCTTTGTTTGTTTGTTTCAGGCTGATAATGCAAAGCTTAGCTCAGAGATCTTAAAATAGGAGCTGGGATTTAGTTGTTTGTTTTTTTATTTCAGGCTGACACGGCAAAGCTTTTCTCCGAGATTTCACAAGAGTACCTGGGATTCCCGTCCACTGAGGGCACCAACATGTCCGCCTCCTTTGGTCATTTAGCGGGGGGATATGATGCTCAGTATTATGGATACATGGTAGGTCATCGGTATCAACATGCCATAGATTTTATAAGTCTCAGGCTTACCACTGAATAAACTAGAGGTACTGTGAGCAATGAGCTCACTAGATGATACACCCCCCCCCCCTCTGCCTCCCATTATGTCCATGTTTTGCTATATATTGTTTTATGGTAACATGTAAAGAGGAATAACTCGTATTATCTACTGTAATTCAGAAGCCGCCATATCTCACGTCATAGGTAAACATATAATGGCAATGTCCATGTTTTGCTATGGTAAATCTAAAATATGTGTCGTATCAAATATAAAATAGGAAGTGCACAATGGAAATATGTAATAAAGATTCTGTGAAAGTTTCATTAAATTTCACTCCATGGTATAAGTGGAGTTGCGGATAAGAGATGGGTAACCCAAAGCGCAATGGACAGACGGACGGACGGACATACTGATTACAGTATACCCTCCCACTTTTCAAGCGGGGAGGGGGGGGGAGGTATAATTACTCCTTGAGTACTTGAGGGGGGGCTGGAACAATCTAGGTCTGTGTTGCTGTCAGTATATAAACTTAGACACTTTTGATATTTTTTTTCACGATGTGAAGAAGAGGTTTACTGACTTGAAATGATGCTGTAGCAATGTAAAATCTTCTGTATGTACTGATTGATGTTTGATGGTTGATATTGTAGTGGAGTGAAGTATTCTGTATGGACATGTTCTACACTCGCTTCAAGAAGGAGGGCATCATGAGTCCAAAAGTGGGCGGGGATTACAGAAGGTGTATATTACATCCAGGAGGATCAAAGGTAACACGCTCTAAATGTTCATGCTTTTAATCTGTAAACACCTCATTTTAAAGAGAATACATCAACAAACTAGGCTGTGGGTTGTATAATGTAACTGACTTATTCTTTTAGTTCATATTCCATGTTGAGGTTTTTACCAACTGGTAAAGTTAACAATTTTATTAAAAAAGATGCTTATTATTTTATTGTTGTTAATTTTTAGCAATTTTAGGGATAACTTTTCTTTTTTTGCTGATATGATATTTAGATAAACTTAATTTTATCCAAATTATAGCTACTAATGCCAAGATTAGATGTTTACTTTATATTCCTGTGATAAGCTATTGTTACGTAATATTTCTTTACAGGATGCATCTGACATGCTGCGTGACTTCCTGGGTCGTGACCCCACACCAGAAGCGTTCCTCATCAGCAAAGGCCTCAACCCTAAGGCGTGAAATCGGTTATTTATAAACATTTGTGATAAACAGAGATTACACCACTAAACTTTACTTTCAACATGAATCAATTCTTCCGGTGTACAAAAACAAAATATATAATAACAAACAAGTCACTCAATGTAGCTTTAATCTATTCACTATGAAAAAAGTTGTACAAATAGTTGTGATGAGTTGAGGTTGACATATCTTGATGATTGACATAAATAATAACAAAGTACTGGTTTAAGAAAACGTGAAATAAATTCTTATTCCAATTCTATTATTCTGTCTTGATGTACAACGTCACAAATCTGGATTCCAAACAGGAAAACTGCCAAAAAAGAACTTGCACAGTCTGAAGTATCTAATGTCTTTTTGTCTGATAATAACCTTTGATCAATTGTGATTACCATTCAGATTACAAAGAAAAGAATGGCGAGAGCTGTGCTCACTCAATAATATCATTCAATCCCATATAAGTACATAGCAAAGTCATTTTATTCTATAGTTGCACGCGTGGCGCAGCAGTTAGAGTCTCTGCTCTAGGTCGCGAAGTAAGGAGTTGATCCTATGTCAAGGATTCGAATACCACTGTGGGATGTGGAGAGCGGTCATTCAGATAAGACCGTATAAACCGAGGTCCCGTGTCACAGTTGGGGCTGGCATGAAAAGATCCCTCCCTTCCCTATGGCCCTGAGTGCCGAGCATAGGATAAAATTTGCAGCTCTCCACCGGCAAATGGTGGCATCTCCATATGATTGAAAAATTCTCGAGATGGACGTTAAACAATATACAATCAATCATCTATGGAAATGGCAAAAACATGTGTGCAATCAAATGGGAGGTTTGTCATGCCACAGTTTAATAAAATTCTGTGAAAGTCTCATTATATTTTATTCAAAAATAAGGGATGGGTTGCAAAGAGATGGGTACCCCTAATAAAATAGAAAGAATTGCAGTGTTGGTATTGGAATCCCCAAATATTTGTCCAATGGAAACAAAAAAGGATAATGTCTTATAAATATACTAGTAATTATAATATACCATATAATCCCTATTAACCGCCCCTGTCCCTATAAGCGCCCCTCTAGGTCTTTTTCAATTGTCAGGAAATAAGGGCCCCCTGTACAGTGATTAAAATCAACAAGAATCGTATCAGAAAATGAAGAAAGAGAAAATGAAACGTGTCTATTGTCCTATTTCTCAGTGGAAAATGCACAATTTAGCATAATTTGGGTGGATTATCTTCACTGTAAGTAAAGTTAGACATTAATTTAGTGGTTCCTTGTATTTATTTTTTTTTTCAAAAGAATTCTTGAAGTTAAAATTTGTCATAAATAAAGAGATAATAATAAATAATAAAGAGAATACCAAAATAACTGCCCCCTTTTCTGCAATAAGTGATAGGGATTATACGGTAACTATATCAATAGTATGGACCAATAGTATAACCCCCAATATTATTGAAAAAAAGACATGTTTGGATAATCCCAAATAACTGTTCTACGACAGGAGATGGCATACTTCTCAATTTTCTGGAATTTTTCAGTAAATCTAATAAAATTAAAACTAGAGGTACTGTGAGCAATGAGCTCACTAAATGATACCCCCGCCTCCCATATCGTTATAACTGATGACAAAGTCCATGTTTTGCCGTGGCCGGGACACCCAAAATATGTGTCAGATCAAAAAGTAAAATAGGAGGTGCACAATGGCAATATGTAACATAGATTCTGTGAAAGTTTCATTAAATTTCACTCAGTGGTATAAGAGGAGTTGTGGATAAGAGATGGGTACCCTAAAGCGTAACAGACGGACGGACGGACGTACAGACGGACGGACGGACAGACGGACGGAATTAACGATCACTATATACCCTCCCGCTTTTCAAGCGGGGGGGGGGTTATAATAATAACTCATTGTAATATTATTCAATGATACTTATTTATTATACCCCCCGCGTGAAAAGCGGGAGGGTATATAGTAATCGTTAATTCCGTCCGTCCAGACGTCTAGCTGTACGTCCGTCCGTCTGTTACGCTTTGGGGTACCCATCTCTTATCCGCAACTCCTCTTATACCACTGAATGAAATTTGATGAAACTTTCACAGAATCTTTATTACATATTGCCATTGTGCACCTCCTATTTTACTTTTTGATCCGACACATATTTTGGGTTTTCCGTAGCAAAACATGGACAGTGCCATTTATACACATATGGGAGGCGGGGGGTATCATTTAGTGAGCCAATTGCTCACAGTACCTCTAGTTGATTATTATACCCCCCGCTTGAAAAGCGGGAGGGTATATAGTAATCGTTAATTCCGTCCGTCCGTCTGTTACGCTTTGGGGTACCCATCTCTTATCCGCAACTCCTCTTAAACCACTGAGTGAAATTTAATGAAACTTTCACAGAATCTTTATAACATATTGCCATTGTGCACCTCCTATTTTATTTTTTTATCCGACAAATATTTTGGGTTTACCGGCCACAGCAAAACATTGACTTTGCCATTATAATCATATGGGAGGCGGGGGGTATCATTTAGTGAGCTCATTGCTCACAGTACCTCTAGTTTCATCAACATGTTGGCATACAGCCATGTTACATGCATAAAGACAAATACTTAAGTACATGCATGTATGCAAGTGTATGGATCAATGACGTAAACTATGCAGTGGTTTACAACTTTAACACAATATGCAATCAGTATAGTATCAGAGACATGACTCTTATAGTATGGACAGCGATGAACTGATAAATGCATTAAATATGTATATTATAACTGCACTTTATTTTTGGAACGAAATTCAAAACATGAAAATTCATTCTAGAATGAACGGCATTGTCAGGATTACACAGTACTTTTCAATGATTTTCTTTCAACATCATTTAAATTACAGATGTTCAAAGTACAGTACATTTTTGCAAATTTTTATATATAGGACAATCATATGTGAAATGTATTTCACTTTCTACAACAGTTTTATGATAGTGACAAAAACGAGATTCATTTGGGATTCAAGGCTTTGAATATCGCCTATGTCAATTTCTAAAGAATGTGCAAAATTAAATTCTCAGTTTTCTTAATTTAGAAAGTACAGCTTTATTTAAATTTCGATAAAATTGATCAGTATGTCAACTCCTGCGGTCCGATCAAAGCCTCAAATAGTGCACAAGGACACTTTTTGATTACGATTCTCTGAAAGTGGTATTTTATTCATTTAAGAGGAGAAATAACAAAAGAATGACTGTGACATGATGCCTTCGTTTGAAGTATCGCTCAGCAGCCTTGAGTGCTTCTGGTTCTTTTTATTACCTTTTATCTCCTTTTGACAGCTTCTCGCGGGCCCACTCGATTGAGACCCTTCTAGAAGGGTTGGAATATGTATGTCTAAATCAAGTGTTCGAGAGGGAAACTTGAAGAGATAATTAAGAGTAAAAAAAATTAATTTAATTATATCATAGTTTTGGGAATTATTTATGATAATGGTGTTTGACTTTTTATCTATAAATGATTTATGTTCTTTTGAACTGATGAATTTAGAACACGATATTAATGTTCAACTCTGAATCCCCCTTCTAAATTCTAAAATCCACCCCTTTATCTTTGTACAATACTAAACCGAAAGTTAAACTTCCGGGGGTTTTCCAAGGGGCGGGTTAGAAAAGAAAAGAACCGAAAAAGATTAATGTGAGTTTTAATATTTTTATGGTAGAGGGTATTGCGGGATGTGGACAAAAAAAAATTCTATGAGGGAATAGTATAACCGGTCCTACTAAACAGAGTACGCTATAGAGTAAGACAGTAAAATGTTATAATTTGATTCAATTAAACTGCCTTTTGTATGTTTTATTGCCTGACGTCACGGCGTCAGGCACTACTAAGGATCAATATTTCCTGGGTTCGAAGCTAAGAGGTCACAATTAGCCAGCGAAATTTTGTGCATGCTGATTATCATCGGATTTTGTTACATGTATTTCAGCAACAACAGTTATCTATTCTGTTAGCAGAAAAATAAACGTATTGCTAATACAATACATTGATGTATTTATTTCCTTTAGCTTTTTGCTAGCATCTATTAATTTCATGCGAGTTCTTATACGGATATGTCCGTTTGACCTTTTTACTGCATTTCTATACTACTGGATAAGTCCATTTATCTTCTAGGTAAGGGGTGACACTATTATTTCGCGCCAAAATGTCACGTGTAAGTTTCTGCGCCCTTTTCCTGGACTATTCTATTAAATGAAAACTGCATGAATTATGTAAAGTCTGTTCTTTTCTGTCTGAATCCTGGTCGAGCTTTGGAAAAAAAAATCGGTGACATTGTGAAGTGAGTTAGAAGTTACATCATTTAAAGTAATAAAACATCTGATCATACCCCCCCCCCTCCAGGGGTTTCCTCCACAGAGTAAGACTTATGAAAGTGTCCTCTCACAAATTTCGGGATTGAGAAAACATGAATTGACAAATATTTTTGATGGTGACCCCTCATCCCTGGGAAAAACTTCCCGAATCCGCACAATTCATATATCGCCGTCAAGTTTGTTGGGTCATTTAAAGCTTTAATTATTTTTCCCACGTTTCCAACAATCTTTGCTGCTTCGGCATACCCAAGAAACTATTAAACATATTCTGCACGTCAGTCATAATTGTTACGTTTCCCAATTTCTTGTAGTTATATTTTCAGCTGTCACCTTTATATGTAGCCATGCTTTCAAGCATTAATCAAGTGTTTTCGCTTATTTACGTCATCCTCTAAAACCATTTTTAGACTCGTGGAGGGAGGTGTTCATCTTTACGTCCCGGGTTCGAATCTACAGCAGGACATGATCATGACTTCATTTTTTATTTGATATACAAACAATATACTGGTATATGGTTTATATAAAATGTGTTCTTTTTCCATTGCTCTGATGAGTATCTTACAACTTAAAATGAATGCATGATGTTTTGTGCAACATCTCCATAATTTACTCTAGTGAAATAATCAACCCCCCCCCCTCCCCCAATGTAAATGTTTATAGCTTATCATGCTTAGATATTGATGACATTAGTCAGGCAAGCTTTTTAAAAAGCTGTTACTTGTATAATAAATAAAATATGAATATGTTCCTTATTTTAGCTATTTTTAATTTTCGATTTCAGGTTAAGGTTTAGTTTTGATCCTGATCCCAATATAATTTAACTTCAAATGTTTCATTGTTAATTAATGTGAAGAATATCGATTTTACGTAATCCATTATTTTTTATTTTTGATTAATAAAACTCTGAACAAAATAGTAATCGAGATCGTGGTGATTTAAATAACCTTTAATGCACTGAATCATGAATATTGCTTTCTTGTCAAAATATCGATAAAAAATGAAAATATTTGTGACAAATGTTGCAATATTATTTTTATAATAATGTTTAATCAAGTTTTATATACATAAATAAACAGTCTAATTATATTAAAATACACGACGTTTCTAGCGTACTCTGAAGTACTCTAGCGTACTTTAGCGTACTCCGTTTAGTTGTACCCAAACATAATTATCATGTTACATAAACCCAGCAGGTTAACTTTATTTTACAGGAGAGAGATGGCGTCTTCGTCTACTTGGGCACAGGACGTGATCACGTGTGACCTTTGTGACAACCCCACTCAGCAGTTCTGTAACAGCTGCCAGGTCAGTTTGTGTCGGGGCTGTATCAATAAACATGTAGAAAGTCTGAAGACTCAAACACATGACATTGTTCCTTTCAAAGACAGAAGAGAACTTCTCGTATTCTCCTCATGTGCTTCTCATCCAAACCAGAAATGTGAGGGACATTGCCAACAGTGTGATGTCCCCGTCTGCTTCAGATGTGTCACAGGTCCCCACAGCGGCCATACTGTCATAGATATGTCAGAGATGGTACAACAGATGAAAGAAGAAATCAAAAAAGAAACCGAGGAAATTGAGAATTTGATTTCAAGATTCATCATAAGCGGAGCAGACATTGATAAGAAGATATCAAACTTGAATGAAAAATTTAAAACAATGGAAAGAGAAGGAGAAAATATGAGAAAAACCTGGCACAAAGAAGTAGACAACATTTTCGACACACTACAATCAACCATTAGGAAAATGAAGGATAGAAGACTCAGAGCTCTCAGATCACATCAGTCCAGACTTCAGGATTCAGGGACAAAATTAGAATGCATAACAAAAGAAAACAAGAAAATACTGAAGTCTAACAAGGTGTCTGATGCTACAAGCTACAAATCAGAACTAAAGGATTTCAAAGACATTCCTACAGATGTTGATGTGAAGATTCCTTCCCTAAACATCAACACAGTCCAGGGGAGAGAACTCAGCATAGAATTAGGAGAATACAAGGCTACACTGACACAGACATCACTATCCAGTCTAACAGATGAAGTCTCCATTTTATCTGTGAGAAAATTATTGGACAAAGCTAAAGTTATTGTTACCATTTCTTCTGGAATAAAGCCTTTAGGTGCCATTATCTGTTTTGGAATCAATGAAGCTTGGGTTCAGAGTCAAGACAAATTCATAAGACGTTTTGACATACATGGATCTTTGAAGGATAAAATCACCACGGAATGTAAATATTATCCTGGTTACATTTCAGTGACCAGGCAGGGAGAACTCATATACAGTGATATTCAAAGGAGAACAGTGAACATTGTCAGACAGGGGAGGATAGAGACACTGATCACTCTACCTCGGGGGTGGCATCCAAGGGGGCTGTGTGTTACCAGATCAGGAGACGTACTAGTTGATACGTGTACTCCAAATGGAAGTCATGAAAAAATAGTCCGCTATCGAGGACAGACAGCAGTACAAGAAATAGATAAAGATGACTGTGGACAAAATATATTTAAAGGTGGCATAAATGGAGTTCTTCTGGAGGAGAATAACAATGGTGACATTTGTGTCTCTGATCTGGATGCCAATATAGTAATAGTGATGGACAAGACAGGAAGGATCCGATTCCGTTATAATGGTACACCAGCCAGGAGAAAAAAAGCCATTCCAACCTGTACACATTGCTACAGACTCACTGAACCAGATTATTATAAGCGATTATAATAATGACTGTCTTCATATCTTAGATCAGAATGGACAGTTTCTAAGATGTGTTGACGATTGTGGAGTTCTGCAGGGTCCTGCTGGACTGAGTGTGGACAGTGAGGGGAGATTGTGGGTAGGGTGTTTTGATTTGGGTGATATAAAAGTGATCCAATATATGGAATAAGACTTATCCTCTGAGACATATACATATACCTTAAATATTCTAGCTTTTGAAGATTGTTGGACAAGGCTTGTAAATGGTCTAGGGTTTGAAACATACTTTATTGATGAAATTAGTATTAAGAATATATTATTCTTATTGTTCAAAAGTATGAAATATTTGATAAATTATGTTATGCTTTAAAAAAAGGTACGAGAGTATGTCATAGTACCCATATCATTTATTTTAGGCATTATATTTATATAATAGCGTTGCATTATGCATGTACTATGCCTAAATAGTAGGCAGCGTTTGACGCATGGTGCACGAGCCGGAGGCTGACTGATATAATTATGTGGCAATTTGACTTTTTCCTGAACATATCGGTGCTAACACGGTGCACTCGCAAGAACTCATTCAACATCTAAAATTGCTTAATCTGGTTGCATACTTATTTTTCTGACACCAGTGGGTTATTTTCTCTAAATAAGCCAGGATTTTCTGTCCCAAAGCGACTCATCTTTATTTTCTGTTAGTACGACTGATTTGTTTGCAGACGTTAATTCTCATTGATAACTTTCTCTCACATCCTTTAATCAAGCGTTATATAAAAAGCGTTTTAATGACTCCATGATATCAGTTCATATAACGATCTATATGAAATTAGTTTGAAACTTTGTTGTACAAATTTATTTAAGGTTCCTAAGAATAATATATCTGTTTTCAAAAAAAATATTTGTCTATTTTCTCCTTTTTGTGTCAATTGTATAAATTAAGTTTATATATTTAATAAAATTCCACCAATCAGTGATCGTTTCTGTGGCGTAATCGACAAGGCATCGGTCTGACAACCTCATGGTCGTGAGTTCGATTCCCGCGTTGAAGAATTTTATTAAGTAAGTAAGGCTGTGCACTATTTCGGCATAGTATGCTTACGCTATATAAATCCTTAGAACACTGTGCGAGAATAGTAGGGTATGGGTTACATAGAGACAAACTGACTTAGGAAGCATAATAATAATATCAAATACAAAATGCCTAAGAGAAGTAAGCATCCCTTGCTCTGTTGACCGGTAACACCCACCTTAATAAGCCAAATGTATTGATCAGACGGACAAAATATTTCGTAGTCGAAGTAACCTTCAGTATAAAAACAAAGTGCTAACATGTCACCCTAAATTAAGTAAAATTTGCTAACAAGGTCATTACAATTTATAGAATGCGGCTATAAAAGGTTATTGATATTCCTGTTCCATCACTGGTTTCAATTGATGGTAGTGGAAGCATTCTTTTTAGTATCGCATAAGTGGAGAGGCATCAACTCTTTATGAAAGCGATAGCTAAATATTAATGCATAAGTAGGGACGGACGATTGAAAGCTGAACTCATCTTTATCATGTAATAAGGAGGTGACAAACAACAATCAGACTCTAAAGTCCCTCGAAATAATACACTTGCAGAACAGAACGAACATCGACATCTAAAAATTAGAAGCTGGGATGTGCTGTCATACAGTTTAATTTTTATTTTGACCTAATCGTCTATAATCAGAAAACCATTCAGATATGAAACAATGCTGAAGACTCTTTGTTGTCTTTTATTTTGAGTTTACTGGAATATATCGAATCGACATGTGATTCTTTTTTTTTTTGATTTAGTAAAACAAAATTTATTTGCATTATATAATCAAAATTACCT